TGGGATTAGTAAGAATATTTCCATTGTAATGTGACTGAAGTCAAAAAATAGTGGAAACTTTTTTTTCAAAAATGATCGTTGAATGACAAAAATACGTGGTGAGTCATCAGAAATATAAGAATATATATGAATTTAATTTTTGAGAATTCATGAGGTACATGAACTACAACGCTTTATGTACACGCCTGCATATTTATCATGAAGCGCTAACGCGCTTCATGAAATATGCTGGCGTGAAGCGTCGTAGTTCATGTGTTACATTAAAGTTTTGCGATTTAAGAAATTCAAAACTAAAACTCAATTTAGTAAATATTTTTGTGTTTGGTTTTTATTTGGATCAATCACATAAACAAGATGTTAGATTAGGTAAGAGTTAGTTTCTTTCTTTCGATTGATTTATTTTTGAATTACTTTGAGAATATTAACAATGTTTTGAAATCGGAGAATTCCGGAGTGGTGAATATATATTTTACGTATCTTGTTATATTATTTTCTTGTCCTGTTTCCTACGAATAAACTTCATCTTTAAATTTTAATTACGGACTTTTGATTTGTTCCAATCAGATCCCCTGTGAAAGCGAGTAGCTCAGTAGCCACAGAGTTGATCCCTGAAGTTTTATTGAAGGTGTAAAAACCAGACTGAGTGTGAAACATGTCCTCATGAATTCTCAAAAATTAAATCCATCTCTTAAAATGCCTTAATTGTTGCCGTACTAAAATACAGTCATTTTTAATTATCTTATCAAAAATCACAAAATAGTTTTGTAAATCACTTTTTAGTTAAACTTCATTTTTGCATAAATTCGCGAAAAGTTCATTCTCGCGTATATTTTCATTAGCATATATTATACATGTATACAACATTAACCAGAATTCATGAAAATATTGCCTCACTGATAAATACTAAATACCTATCTCATAAAGTGTCGCAAAAATTCGGTGATCTACAGTACATCACACCTCATATAATATCAAAGTGTACATTTATTTATCAGTAATTAACAATTTACATAAAGTATGCGATCAATATCAATAGCTTTTATAGAAAATCACTCTGATCATGATATACTGTACATGTCAGTCTAATCTGACTAGTCTTTTTAAGAACAGTGTTTTGAATATAGAGCATGCATTTCAGCATACGCTGGAGATTTTTATCCGACATTGTCCCGTTTTGTAATCTACATTTCGTCTTGTGCATAGTGAAGCTAAATTAAGGCCATCAAATTATATAAAAGGAATGTTTTTTCAGTGAATTTTCACTGAAAGTTCTTTCAGTTAACGCTAGAGCACGCTCTGTGGTACATGTTTACTTTCCTTTAGTGCTTTCTCCCATTAATAATTTAACAATCATACAGGAGATGTTTTGTGTCATCTTCAACTTAATTAAAAATTCACAAACAATAAGGAAATACATAAATGTACATCCTTTTTTCCAATTTACTCAAAGAAAAGTAGCTCAAAATACCATGTAAAATAATTCATTTATGGCAACTTCTTATATTTTCTTCTTACACACATTTATTATTTTATTCATAAATGTATAAATATTTTTTCTAATAACAATACAATGGTATATTAAAGACCCTTTTTCCATTTACATGTATTTTCATTCAAAGGATTTTGAAATTTCATAATAAAAATTGAGTAATAATAATTGCTAATTATATCAAACTGTGGATTTTACAATATTGTTTTGAATACAAGAAATTTACATTCTCTTTTACTCCCACATACTTTGCCGATGTGAATGAACAGGCAAATTATTGTATATATGCTTTAACAGTTTTTAATGCATATAATATTTGTAAAAGATATTCTTTCTATTCCATTTATTCGAAAAATACACTATGTCTTACATTTACCCTGACTCATCTAACATATTTAAAATAGATATAAATCATTATTAAAGCACAGGAGCTTTCATACTTATTGAAAAAAGTTTATCAATCCATAAAAAATCTCTAAACCATTTCATCTCTCTTTAAAGTATTGATATTTCTATGCAATTTCAAAAAATAAAATGATGTAATCATATTTCCGTAAATCTGAGGAAGATTTAACATTTTAAAAATTAACATCATACAGGCATTCGATCTCCCTTTTTTCCTCAATCCAACTATGCGTATTGTCAATAAAAAAGTAAATTTGCATATATATCTTTTAATATTTTTTCAGCATTTTATTTTTTTAATGCTTAATCTGAAATTGATATACTAAAAAGAATATTATAAAAAATTTTAATACGTAAATTCAAAAACGACAATTTGAATCAAAAGAGACAGTAAAACTACACTTGATTTTTGAAAATCACGTTAAATCAAGCATAGAATGTTATCGGCCTAAGTGATTTAAATGAAATACAAATGTGCATATGTGGATAATGTTCATAAAAATTACAAAATTTAACTGCAAAATAAAATTTTGGAGTATTTTTATAAGCACAATATGTTTTCTAGTTTATGAAGACAAATGCTTTATGTACCTCAAAAACACCAAAATACCCATTCTGTTGAATTAGCATTTTTGAAAGTCATGACAAATTCTACCCTGAGATCAAGTTAATTTTAAAGAGTCTTGTGATTCTAATCGTGACATAATGTATTATCAGAATACTGCAATGGGTGACAATTTTAGCTGCGATGACTCGCCCCTTTTGTTTGCAAGTCACGTTGGATGAACACCGGTCTCGTGAATAAGTGGTCCTGGGGGTATATAAAGAGCTCCAAGATGTTTTATTTTTACATCTAACCTTGGGTTACCTCTGAGCTGGTCTTAGGGGAATCAGATTCCAGACTTTGTTCCTGTTGTTTCTTGCGTAGAAGATTCTAAAGAAGGCAAGTATTTTTCTCTTTTTTACTTATATTACTAGTAAGTTTTGCAAACACAACAAGAGCATCCCTTTTTGGATGAATTCAAAAATAATGACCGGCAAATTGAATTTTTTGGGAAAAAAATTTAACTTGCCATATCATACTTTTCAATTATAACATCTCACTGTATATACATTCAAGTTAAAATTTCTGAAGTGACAATAAAATAGACAAATGCATAAAATAGTTTCAGAATATCTGTTAGAAGAACTACATTTGAAAAAAGAAAAGAAAATATAACTACATACTAAAGACTTTCTGAAAAACAAAATCAAAAGAAATTCTAGATTTTTATTCTCCAGACTTGTACCAGGCATATAAATGATTAGATCCAAACATTGATCGAGTTTCTCATCTTGTATATGTGAAAAAATGGCTTTTTGATTTTAGCTTACATTAATTGTCTCATTTCTGCTTTGAAAATTTCTAATATGAAAGAAATATGATACAAGTTTTCTTACAAAATATACTAAGTAATCCTATTTTAGCTTATTTTGTTGCACTCCTGACATCTGATTTTTTTTCCTTCATTGAAAATATTTTTAAAAATTATAACATACAGTAACTCATTCAAAGTTTGTAAAGCAGTTCATCATTTTAATATTTTTTTTTATCATTTAAGATACGTTTTTTATATTTTCTTGACTTCAAAATAAGATTTTTTTTAAAGATAAGATATTTTGCTAATGTAATATATTTAAAAATATTTGTTTAGTGATGAAAACTATATTCTGTGAATTGACTGTAAAATGTCCAAAAATGTCTGTAATTTCTTGATATACAGAATGTTTTCAACTACAAATAGTATCAAACATTTTCTGCAATTTATTTTTTGGTAAGCCAGGTGAAGTTCATTGATAATTATAAAATAGTTTTGTTGCACTCCTGACTGCAGTAAAATTTAAAATTGAAACCATAGAACACTAAAATTCATAGAATTATGGCAACATCAAATTGCAACGAAATTGTGCAATATTTATAGCACCAAAGCTTCGGGGTTTAAAAGTACATATATAAAGTTTTTTTAAAACTTGGCTTTAAATCATTTTTTTTTTCAAAAATTTATTATATGAAGTTCTTACCAAAAAAAAAAAAAAAAAAAAAAAAAAAAAAAAAAAACTGTGTAAAATTAGTCTTGAATATTGTTTTTATGTCCCCGTATCGAAGATTCGGGGGTATATAGTTTTTGCCCTGTCCGTCCGTCCGTCCGTCTGTCTGTCTGTCTGTTTGTCTGCAAAAACTTTAACATTGCCATAACTTTTGATTGGTTGGAGCTAAGGCTTTCATATTTCACATGTGTATTCCTTGTGACAAGACCTTTCTTTAGGTACCACCATATTTGACATTTTGACTTGACCTTGGAGTTTGACCCGTTTTGCAAAATTTTATCCAACTTTAACCTTGGCCATAACTTTTGAACAATTGGTGCTAGGGCTTTCATACTTCACATATGTAATCCTTGTGAAAAGACCTTCATTTGGATACCAACAACTTTGAACCTTTGACATTGACCTTGGAGTTTGACCTACTTTTGAAAAACTTTAACCTTGGCCATAATGTTTGAAAAGTGCTAGGGCTTTCATACTTCACATACATGTATGTAATCTTTGTGACAAGACCTTCCTTTGGATACCAACAATTGTAGCCCATTGTCCTTGGAGTTTGATCTACTTTTGAAAAACTTTTGAATGATAGGTGCTTCAGTTTTCATATTTCACCTGTATATTTCTTGTGAGAAGGCCTTTCTTAAGGCACCATTAATTTTGACCATTTGGCCTTGATGTTTGACTTACTTTTGAAAAACTTTAACCTTTTCTATATCTATTCAATGGTTGCTGCTAGGGCTTTCATATTTCACAGGTATATTCCTCGAGACAAGACCTTACTTTGGTTAACAACATATTTGATTTGCATTTGAGAAAGTTTAACCTTTGCTATAAGCTGCCATAATGGGGCATCAGTGTTTCACAAACACATCTTGTTGTTCTTAGTTTTTTAACCCAAAAGTTTTTAGCAAAAAATACTATAAAATAAAATCTATTTCAATTAATGGATAAGAAAATAAATACAAAGCTATAACTACCGCAAAATCATTGTAATGTTAATTTTCCTTTATTTGCTTTTTAGATGCGTTGTTTGATCATCTGTGCAGTATTAGCCATATTTGCTGGCCAAGTATTTGCTCAAGTTACCCAGCCAGAACCTAGGAATGGTACCATTGTTTCCATGTTAAAAATGAATATTAATAATAATAGCTTAAATTGGAATTCAGTGACCCTTTTCAGCAGTTCGCACGACTAAGATAAAAAAAAAATTACAACTCTATATTTTGATGTTAAATGAAGATATTATTTTTTTCTCTAAAAGATTATCACATTATATTTTAATGCCATAGAAAATTATGATTTTTGTTAAATCTTTTCTTCGTAAGATGTTTTGTGAAAACGTCCACAGATGTAAAATTCTACTCATACGCTAGACATAAAGCAATCAATTATGATTTGATATAATTATTTGTCCATTTACATGCAAAATAATTAATTGCTTTTACATACTCTTTTAGGAACTGCAAAGCCTCCAATAGAAGAAAAGACCGTTGCACCGGGTGAAAAATTTACGGGAATTCCAACAGAAGGTGACAGAACATCACCAGCTCCCTCTGGCGTCGATCCATCCCATAAACCACCTACAGGGGATCATCCCGAACCCGACTCAGACAGAGAGGAAGCTGAAAAAGGAAAAATGTGGAAGAATCGTATCGCCAAGTGGAAGAAAATGCGATTGAATAAGAAAGTTCCAGAACAAGTGAAACCAGAAATCAAGGAAGATAAAAAGCCGGGACAAAAAACAAAGAATAAGGCAAAAGGATCAGGAGACAAGAAGAAATTTGGTATTTATTTATTTTTATATTAATATCAAGAAAAAGCACAGCATTTAGATATATTTCTACCATTCATTCAGGTATCTAGTCAATGAAATAGTTAAACCCTTACCAGAACAAAAAAAATTATGAAGATTTTTTTTTAATCTAAATGGATTCACGTGAATTTATTATTTACCTAAATTATTAATTAAAATATCACTAAAATGACTTTGAGTATAATGAATTACATAATTTTCAGGTAAACCACGTCAGCCATTCTTTGGAAAACGTAGAGGAACGGAATAAAGACCTTTCCATGAAGTCATATTTACAGGGAAATGCCAAAAATTGATTTAAAAATAATAATTTCGAAAATGTGAAATCCTTGTTTAAAAAAAAACTCAAACTGGAAATCAGTAGTGAAAATATATCCAAAAAAAGAAAAACAAACTATTTTCTTAAAAGAAATTTATTTGTATTTGATCATGTCAAATTTAATAAAATTATTACCGGTATCTAATGATTTGATTGGTTTTATTGATTTTCGTTGAATATTTTGAGCATTAAAGCATTTCGTCATTCTGAAAGAGTGAATTTTTGCGTTGTAATTTCTATTAGAGCTGTTCATTGGTCACTCAATATTCAGCTATCTAATGTGTAATATGAGAAAAAAAAGCATTTTCTCACATCGATTATTCAGTGATCTGTAAGATTATAGTGATGATTTCAGACAAGGCTAAAGGAACTACTTCCATTGACTTTATTCCTAACATTTCGTTTTTACAAACTTGTCACTTTTCGTATTTTTACCTTTTCAAGTTGTGTTTTTATATCAAAGACAGTTTCACAGGTCAGATATGTTTATAAAAGATAAAATAAAAGGCTATTAAATTTGAATATCTGTTTTACAATTCAAAATTTCTTTCACTAGCCATAATTTAACTATACAAAAGTTAGTTTTTGGTTGGAACAGGTGGTTTGAGAAATTTATTATATAGCACTTAGTACTTACAATTTCATCATAAATTATATTACACATGACTAAATGTCGTTAATGCTAAAATTCTATAAAACATGAGAGACGAATCTAGGGCCCAATTAATATCTGTACCGAACGCTGTGTACAAAAAGAAAAAACTATATACGGTAAGGGCGTATTCCTGCCCCCATGATAGTCAAATTTTGAAAATCTCTTGAAATGAGCAAAAGTGCATATATTGTATAAAATAATCCAAAGGAAGACAATATATTATGAAATTGGAAAAATTAGTTGGCTTTTCTTGTCTCTGTGACGTCACAAACTATTTGGATTTCCGTTATTTTTAAAATAGAGGCCAAAATGCACAGAGTTTGTTCAAATTTGACTATAGTTTTTATAGAGCGCAAGCTTGCTCAGGTTCCATATTCACATATTTCATTGATATTATCATTCTACACATTATATCAAAATGTCTAGTCTGAGCAGACCTGCGCTCGATAATTTCCAATCAAAATACCGACGTAAAATACACTATTTTCTCTCAAAATCATTGCATTTTGGAATTTACGTCATTTTATTGACGTCATATCTAACTAATGATGTCATAGTTGATAAAAATATTTAATGCTTTGAAGTCTGCAAATATCCACTTGGTTTAGAACATAATTAAAGATTTCTCCATCAAAGTTTTATTTTGGGGGCATATACTGGCCACTACAGAATATAGTCCTTTGGGAACCATTTCTAAATTTAAAAAAAAAAATGAAGTACTAGCTTGCTCTTCAAATTGGTGATACATTAACTTTAGTAAAGAAACTAGGGGTTATATGTCAAATGTTTTGGGGAAAAAATGGTTTTTTTAATAACACGGGGAAGGAAAGAACGGCATTTTATAATATGTTCATAATAACCAGCAGCCATGTCCAATTAGCTATCTTAAGATGAATTGTGAAGATATGGAACAGTGATCATTCTCAAAAGTCCAATCTAACAAACACAACCGTCGAGCAGAGGAAACTCGGACTTCTGAAAACATCAGAGACGGGATCAGATGCCATGGAGGAGAAAGCATTTCCAATCGAACGGTCACACCTTTGTCATTATAGAGTTAACAGAGAAGCATGAGAATGATGGCCTGAAAATTTTTATGAAAGACGTCAGTTAACAATGGATCTAACGACATGTTGTATTTGCAAACAAGAACTAGGGTTTCATAGGGACGTTTTATTAGAAAACATCTTAGTTTTAGGTAAGTTTTTCGAACCTTTCCTCGTATTACGATCAACAACGATCAAAGCTGATTAAGTATTCGTTATGTCCATATATTTCTTTGTACCTATTCAATGGAAATGAATCGTAATTAGTTTGTATGAACATATTTATTTTATTCTTTTCCTAGTAAAAAGCGACGAATTAAGAGCCATAATTCACGTTTAAAAAAGTATTTAAAAAATAAACTTTATGAACAACCTTTAATATTATGCATGTTAATGAATCTACATGTAGAGATTCAAAGTGACATCTATAACCGAACGAAAAAAAAAAACATGTGGTGCTAGATGCTGACATACAGAAGAAAAAAAAACCTCGGATATATTTTCTAATATCTCTGATTTCAGTTTGTCGAAATAGCAACAATGTACTAGTTCCATCATTAAATGAAAGTATGTAGAATATACATGTAGTATATAGCATTGATGGTATTTATTTAGAACTATAAGTATACTTGATTACTGTTCGTTATCTTCATATCTAAGGAGGCTGGGGGGTCAACAAATTAACCATCAAATATAACTTAATTTTTTTAGATATGATATCTTAAGTCAACTATCATTTGGTGAAGAAAAATTTCATACATTTTAGTTTTAAAATTTGATCATTTTTGTATATCTTTATATGGAGCTCTTCTTCTAAAGGAGATCAATATAGTCTGAAAATGGCCACAACCCCCCAGCCCTCTTAATTCAAGCTCTAAGAGGAAATCGTGACCAAAGGAAAGCTTTCTCCTACTTTTAGCAACTTTTAAATTTCTTCAAATCAAATTTTATGATATGTTAGACGCTTGCAAATATATGATATAAACACACAACAAATACAGTTCAAATAAACCTATCACCTTACTGAATAAAAATTCAAAAACTTTCCCGTAAACAGTTTTTAACGGTAGCTTCTATATGAGATGGACCAAGCAGTTGTTTGTGCTTTTTCCTTGATAACATCTTTTCAATCTTTTCGAATTTTTAGTTTTTTCTCAAAGAAGAATGCTTTTAAAAATGAACTAAGTTCACAATCGGTTGTAAAGATTTTTTTTGTTCGTTTTTGTTTGTTGTATGTTTAATGTATCATTTTTATGCTGAATAATGAAATGTATATTTTGAACCACGTTAAAGAAAAAAAATTCCTTCTTATTTTTTAGAAAAAAAAAAATTAATGACTTACAATACTACAGGTATCGATTGCATTCAATTTTTTAAATCAAAGTGAAGCCTGGGTAAATATACTCTGTTTGCTGCATATACACCAAGGGAATGTCAACCATGTTCACAGACTTGTTAATTTCATTCTCCTGCAGCATTTAAATACCAGTGTTTATATAAAAACCTTTAGACATGTTATATGCATTAAGCATTTTTAATTTAAAATGTGTCCACTTTACAAAAATATACATAAAAATCCCATGGTCCTGTTTTTTAATGAAGTGAATCGTGACTTGTATATTGGCCTAACTATTTAACCTTACGGGTATTAACAAATCAAATGACCCACCCCTATTATTAGGACCTCACGATTTTTATGTAACGAGGTCTGCAGAAGTGAATTTGAGAGGGTACTTACCGAGGAGAAATAGCATTTTTCGTCACATTGGTCTTCACCTCTGAGCTGGTCTTGGAGGCTTTTTCTGACTTCTTCTTGGGTTGCCGCAAATATAATCAAGGTAAAAGGTTTCAGTCATTATTTTTCTTAAGAAATTAAAATAGGTATATGGATTCTTAACATTGCATAATTAAATTCAGTGCAAAATTAATAAATGAAGCGTTTAAAAATTTTGAACACCAATTAAATTAATTAAATCAAAACTATTTTGATAATTATAAAATTCTATGTAGAAATGTATAATGTTTCATTCATAGTCGTTTTCATGATCTTAACTGGCAAAATAATCTGTTATTTAATTTCCAGATGCGTAGCTTGATTCTGTTTGCTTTCATTGGTGCTTTAACAGCGCAAGTTTTCTCCCAACGCGAGGGTATGTTTTACATGTATCATAGAATTCAAGTTTTTTTAAAAACTAATTTATACCTGAAAAATTAAAACATAACACATGGTTGAGTGATTTCTTGGTTCATCTATTTTTTCCCCCTTTTTATATGTTTGTTTGTTTGTTTTGTTTTATTTTGTTTGTTTGTTTTTTATTTATTTATTTATTTATTTTTGTATTTTACTTATTTTTCTTTATTTCATTTTTGCATTTAACGAATCTAGGGAGTATCGTGTTTTCACCCTTGTACATCAATAAATCTAAGGAATATCCATTAAACTATAGATTACATGTAACATTTTTAATATGTATTAATATGGTTGTAAATTAATTTGTAATTCAAAGGTGATGTTGACAAAACCGGGCCCCCTAAGGACGGGGCAATAAACAGAAGACCTAAAGTTGATGACAAAACTAAAGTGCCCGGAAGTGGAGGAATAACAAAACCGGATGTTGATGGAAGAACCAGGCAACCAGGAGATGGAATAGTAACTAGAAGACCGGAAGTTGGAGATAAAACCAAGGGAGCCGGAAACGGAAGAGTTACTAGAAGACCGAAAGATGACAACAAGAAAAGGAAAGGGAAACCGAAGAAATATATCAAAAAGATCAAGGGAGGTAAGTCTCAGGGATGGTATATTTATTGATTGATATCTATTTAATTTGCTTTCAAGCAGTATTGCAGTTAATAAGAGAACCCAACACATGTGATCATCGCTTAATAATGCTTTTAATATTTATTTGTTTTCCAGGTAAAGGATTTGGAAAAATGAAAAAGATGAAGCAAAAGTTTTCGAAAAAAATGAAATCCTTTATGAAAATGAAGAAGGGCATGTTCAGGAAACGGAAACAAAACTAACCAAGAAGGACATCAGAGTATACCTTACACTGGCTTACAGAACATTGCTAACATTGCTCCACATACTTTTTATGTGTTGTTTCTCAAAAATAAAAATTTCAAAAAAGGTGTTAACGTTCAGAAATGTTCTTATATCTTGTCGTTTGAAAATAGAATTAATAAATATTTTTTTCTTATTGTGTTTAAATATTGATAAATTCATTAACCTTTCAAATTAGAAATGTGTACAATTTGCGTATTTGCTTCACTATAGAATTTTTTAAAACTCGATCGCGACTGATGCAGAAAGTCGAGCAGTACTACAACTGATTTTTAGTTAGTTACCACAGT